AATAACAACATCATAATCATATCAAAACTCTTTTTTTCTCCAATTAAATACCACATTGGTTCAAAATAACTGAAGAATCAACAACTTTTCTTTGGCCGTGGAAAATTTCTCTTTTCCTTGAATTTTACCCACAGGGAAAATTGCTTTTTCTATTTTCTTTAATCCATTAATCAATTTCCAGGAAATAAAGATTTACTGGAATTTTTTTTCTTTTCTCCAGTTAAATATCATGTCTGTTCAAAATTATTGGAGAATATACTTTTTTTAGCAGCGGAAAAAATCTCTTTTTCTTGAATTTTACCCACAGGGAAAAATTACTTTTTCTATTTTTCTTTTGAGCTATTTTTCATTTTCCGAGAATTAGCAATTCTTCGGAAAAGAAAAATCAAAAAACTCGATCTAGATTCTTTCATTGTTTTTGGCCCATCAGTAAAGCGGCCCACGGCCCACGCCCACTGCGCTTCTCCCGCGCCAAAGGCACCAAACCTAGGCTCAGGCGATTCCGCCTCACGCCGCTCGCCCGCCTTGGCCGTGATCTTGTCTGCCGCGATCGCACCGTTGAATCCAATCGGACGGCCGAGCGGGCGCGTTTGATCGATCAAAACCCCAGCACGCTCGGCTCCCAAAACCCTAGCGCCATTCGCCCCTTTCTCTCTTTCTTTCTCTCTTCGCGCTTTCCTCTCCTCTCTCGGTAAGTAGCGATGAAACCGAGCGAGAGCGAGCAAGGCGAATGAGTGGAGCAGCGAGCCCCGGCGCCGCCGTCGCCGACCCTCGCCCGGCGTCTTGCGCGTTCCCCAGTGGTGTGCGCGCCATTGCCGAGCGGCTTTGGCAGCGGCGCCTCTGTGGCGGATCCCGGCGGCGGTTCTCCGGCCGGCCCTTTCTTTTTCCCACAGCGCCGGCGTGAACGACGGTGAGGTAAGCCACCCCCTTCCCCTCTTCCCCTTTCGGTTTCTTTGGTTCTTGTGCTCGATTTCATCCGATTTGGGGATTAGGTTAGGGTTTGGGGATGGGGTTTCACTGCTTTTCTTTTCCTTGTTCCCCAATCGGTTTAGATCTTGTTTGCTTTTCTTTGTTTGACCGATTGGGTGGGTTAGGGTTTCATTTTCTTTTGATTTCTTTTCCTTTTCGGAGTTCATCCGAATGGGTTCCTTCCCATCCGAAACGGTTCCTTTACCCTTCTCCCTTTCTCCTTTCCCATCCCCTTCTTCTTTTCGATTTGGACTGTGTTCTTCTCTTTTCCGAACCAGCGGATGGGAATAGGGTTTAGATCTAGGGTTAGGTTTCGGTTTTCTTTTGATTTCTTTTCTTTTCTTATTTGTACCGAATCCCTCTTTTCCCCTTCCTTTACTTCTTCTCTGATCCGAACACGGATCTGTTCTTTCTTGCCGTGTTAGTGCGGCACTTTTCCCGCGTGGTGGCGGTGGTGACCGGGGTTCCAGTGACCTCCGCCACCCCTGATCCCTTTTCTGTTTCTTTTACCCGATTAGGGTTAGAGTCACACAGAGGCAGCCTGGCTCTGGTACCAATGTTAGAATCGTAGGATTGGTACCTCTGTGTGACCCGTAGATTGGGGTAGGCTCCTCGCCTTTCTCTGTTGCAGCTTCTCGGCAAGCATGAACGCCGATGCCGCAGTGTAGTAGATGTCGTAGTGGCGAGGAGGTGATGTCCAGTGGCGCCGGTGGAGAACCTGCAGGGGCGACGGTGGTGGTGGGGCACATCCCGACGCTTCCAACACTACTTTAGATCGGTTTTAGGGTTTCTCTGTTGAGTGGGTGGCGGCTCCGATGAACCTCGTAGTCCGAGCCCTCACCCCCACCTTCCTTTTATGTGTGCTGTGCGACAGGGGCCCACCAACCGGATTAGGGTTGGGCTCCCCCGATCAGGGAGCAGAGATAAGGGCCCAATAGGCCGTTGGGCCTATGGTGAAGATCAACTAACAGCCCAAACTTCATCGATATACTGGAGGATGATCATGGACTCGGCGACGGGCTTGCCGTGGTGGAGAAACACCGGTATCTTCTTGTTGCCGACCATCTCCTGCAGGAACTCGTAGTCCACGGCCTTGAGCTTCAGCGCCACGTACACGCGGATGGCGTAGTGGCTCGCCCACCCGCCGATCACGCGCACCGCCGCCGCCGCTTCTTCTTCTTCACCGCCGTTCGCCATTTTTATATTTTTGCCGACGATCAGATTGGTGCCGTGGGGTTTGTGGATTGCGAGTTCGTCGCAGCGTTGTGTGGCTCTGTATTTGATGTAGTCTTTGTATACGCAGGTCTACACCCTCAGGAGCAAGGTTTTCCCTTCTTTATTGAAGTTTTCTTTGACCGGACGGTGATAACAGGTTGACCATCATTTTTTACTTTCCTTTTTATATATGGTGATTTAGTAGTCGTCAATCAATCAGGAGTACTAGTTAGTTTAGCTTCTACGTTTGCTCCACTTGACCATTCTGCCTCTTCCTGATGTCATTGCTGGCGTCCTTGAAGAGGTGCGTTTGCATTTCAGGTGGATGAGCTCCACGGGCAACGAGACTTTAGGCGCCGCTGGTGAGTGGCGACTTCAGCAATCGGCCACCGAAAAATTTACGCATCGAAAAGTTCAGAGATTACACATATGGAGTACATTGCTTCCTTCCTGTGGCTCGTTTGATCTGAGGAACAAAAAATAAAAATTTACAAAATGTGACTAATAGTTAGTCAAATTATAAGAAAATTTAGCGATAAGATTCGCATTCAAATTTTTATATTCTAAGTGACCCTAATATTGCTTTTAAGTAATTAACTACAAATTATAAAAGAAGTTAATCATAAAAATATATTTTGTATGGCTTTTAATCTTGTGAAATACTTCTTTCGTTCCAAATTATAAGATGTTTTGACTTTTCTAGATTCGTAACTTTTATCTAGATATACATTATATCTAGATTTATAATAAAAGCTATTAATTTAGAAATACTAAAACGTCGTCATTTGTGAGAAAGGAGTAACTTTTTGTGCCGCTCTTTGCATCACCCATTAATATGCTCGCTTTCACACTCAGGGGCGACTTTAATTTGATTTGCTTGCATGAGATTTTCTGAGACAAACATACTGCCTTTGATATATCATGACGAGGCTACAGGCGCATATCTGGAAGTTGATGATGAGTTAGTCCATCATCTAGTCATTCATTACGATATTTGTTTGGTTCGTAGAATGGAGTAGGATGATGTATCATCGCTTTATTTCTCATAAGTCAATAATTAATAATAGTATTAGGAATGGAGCCATTCTACAAAATTTGAGGAATCAACTCATGACGCAGCTACTCATATAGTATGGAGTGGTTTCTCAAACCAAACATCATATAAATATTGCATGCAAGATTCATCATCTCAAGAGCCGTGAGCGATTAGATCACTGGTTAGCGAGATGGGAGGTAAAGGGCAGCCTTGCAAAGGGCACCAGCTCCTACAGATGGCATATGACAACATTATTTTGAGAACACAAGGGGCTACGTGGTGTTGTTGTTTCCTTAACGGTAATACTCAGGAGGAGCGGGTGTCCATCCGTCGCTTTCTAGGCTTGCGTGTACCAGCCCAATAGGCCTGCTTACTCTTTGCGTCTCCTCATCTCTCTCTCAAAAATATCTCCCTATCGCTCTCGCCAATCACGTGCTGCTATGTCATTCGCTCACTACTGCCGTCTTCCCCGCCGCGCATCCCATCTCGCGCCGCGCGGCTCCCCCATCCAGCACCGTGCTCCATCCCCCACCGCGCCCGCTCCAGCTCGCTGCGTGACACACCACTGCTGCTGCGCATTGTGTCTTGTGCCCCGCGTGTGCCGAGGTGCTGCTAGGTGCTGCCGAGGTGCTACCGACGTTGCCGTTCCCCACCAGAAGGTCGTGGCCGCTGTCGACGCCATGGCTGCTGCATTCCGTGACCTCAGCAAGGAGATGTTGCGATGAAAGCGCATGTTGCAAGCGTATGTTTCAAGTGTTTCAGACGTTTTTGAGCTATGTTGCAATTGTTTCATATGGATGCTGCAAAAGTATTAGGGATGTTGCACAGGTTGCAAGTATTTCAGAGGCATGCTAGAAGTGTTTTAGAGGCTTGTTCAAAATATTTCATCTGTTCCAAACGTATATTATAAACGTTCTAATCTGGATGTTGAACGTGTTTCACACATATGTTGTAACAATATGTTCCAAATGTTTTAGTTGTTTGAGTCTTATGTTGCAGTAAGTGTTTTCATGTTGCAAGTTGCAAATGTTTATATATGGATATTGTATATATTTCATACATATGTTACAAGTGCATGTTCTAGATGTTTTATCTATTGCATACGTATGTTGCATTCAAGTTTTTCATGTTGCGCATCTTTCACGTTGTTCGGAGAGTCAAGGGGGCATGAGGAATGTGGTGGCATGGCAGGGACAACGGGGAATGGGGCACGGCGAGCTGGGGGCCGACGGACGGGGCGCGAAACGCGCCGGTGTCCTGCGGATGGGGCGTGCTCAGACCGGCGGTGGGGGCACGATCGGGGCAGGGTGCGTGTGTGGAGTGGGGCGAATGGCCTTGAATTGGGATAGATAGGGCGGGGTACGAGTGCGAGGCGAGTCTTCCGGACATGCGGGAGCTAAGACTGGGCGAGGTGCACGTGTGAGGCGGGGAAAAATCAGCGAACAGGGGTAGGCTGCACGGGCGCTGGACCAGATATCCGGGCGCTAGCACCTCCGTTTCTTGAATTTGACTTTATATGTGAAACCGACTGGAATGGACGAGTCCGAAAAATACTGAGCCTGTGAATGCGTTGATTTTCCTTTCAGCAGTACTTTTCAACGATGTAACAATGTTTTTCTCTCGTGATACATCAGCATCAGAAAAAGGAAGAAGCAAATTTAAGCGAAACGAACAGAGCCAAAGAAAGCTTTATTTCCAGTGGAAGGACACATACTACAGCTTATTGACAGTGACACCACTAGCACACGCGCACTGAAAATCACGAAGCAGACCCGTTTGCTCACTTGGGACCATTGATGATAGGCTTTGAGAACGACCCATAGGTGACGCTGAACTCAACGAACTTGTCCGCGTCAGGGATCGCGTCCACCACGGCCGGGTGGGTGCAGAGCCGATCGGCCCACGCCACCAGGTTCGGAACCTTCGCCTTGTCCAGGAGAGTGACCCCGGCGATCTTCTCCACCGCCTTCACCCAGCCGACATACGACACCAGAGCGATGTCCAGGTACCCGACGCTGTCGCCGCCGAAGTAGTGCTTCCCCTGGCTGAGCTTCACGAAAGCCTCCTCCAAGAGCTGCAGGGCGGCGGACAGCTGCTCCGCCGCTTGGTCCTTGCCCCCGTCATCCGTTCCCTTGAGTATGCGGATCGCCGAAGGAGCTGCGTGAGTGTCAACCAGCCAGGAAGAGCATGATTAGTCTCACTCTGACACCATCATTATAAATTGCTACTGAAAACTGATTAGAATTGCTCAGACAAAGAGCTCGATCGACTAGCTAGTTTTGCTTTACCTTGTCATCGACGTACTGTGCCCAGAACCGCTGGACCGCACGGGTGTAAGGGTCGGCGTGGAGGAAGGCCGGCGCGTCGGAGGACCAGACCTCGTCGATGTACTGGACGATGATGAGAGACTCGGAGATGGGCTTGCCGTGGTGGAGCAGGACGGGGATCTTCTTGTGCACCGGGTTCGACCTGAGCAGCAGCTCGCTCTTCTTGCCCACCACCTCCTCCACGAGCTCGTACTTGACGCCCTTCAGCTTCAGCGCGATGAGGACGCGGATCACGAACGGGCTCGCCCATAGGCCGATCACACGCACGGCCTCTGCCTCTGACATTTTTGTGGTTCGAGTTCTTGGCCTAGTGCAGAGCTCTACTGACAGTATTTATATACAAAACATTGCACTCAAAAACACTGCCATTCACATCACATGCAGCAGGCCCCGCCACCACGTGACGACAACTCGAGCGAGCCTCAAAAACATTGCACTCGGACGGCCCACCACGCGAGCAAAACGTGCTCCACTCCACTCCAAACCCCAGTGCCGTGAAGCTTCCTCTACGCCTCATCATCCGTCCCCGTGGACACGAAACCAACGCGGTTTAGCCTATCTCCTGCTACGCGTACTCCCAACGCTGCCTCAGGGAGCCCAAAAAAAAAAAAAAAACTCATCCTCCCGACGGCCCGGTGCAGGCAGACACCTCCGGGCCCCGCGGGTACCCTCTCCACGGCACAGGAGGACCTCCCGGCACGGAAGGGCGAGGGAGAAGGGCGAAGAACGTGCAAGTGCTAGCTTAGCAAAAACTTGGCACATGGGATGGGACCAAGTTAGCTTCGGTTCCATGGATTAAAAAAAATCAATTACTCTGACATGTTTATGATGAACAGCCTATGAGCGGAAGGAGCATTGTCAGAAACTATATATATATTTTTTTTCATTATTTGATGATTTCGTACTTAAAGTACTTGCAATACATAGGAGCAAAATTTTCTTGGCTAGCTTCTCTCAGATGGCCTCATCTTAGTTTCGTCTTCTATTCTAAACACTAGTATTTCCCTTACTGCTATTGTAGCTACCTGTGTGTTAACAAAATTGTTACTCATCCATCCATGCAAAGACCACTTACCAATTATAATATACTTAGAATATTTCCTTTTTCCTTCTAAAAGCAACCGGTGAGAAGTTTGTCGAGCGTTAGTGTATTTTTATAATAAATGAGCATTTTATAGGAACATAACGGTTCTGTGTTTTTTCTTATGTCTCTAGTAAGCAACTTTTTTGTGTGGGGTAGATCCTTGTTAGCCGAGTGGTGTATTGTGAGAAGCTCTGTCACGTGGCGGCGAGCTCATTTCTGTGACTGAGGAGAAGTTTGCTGCAAGTAATAGTTGTATGTGGATATACATATTTATATACAAAACGAGCTCGTGCTCTTTTTTTTTCTGAGCCTGTTCGCTGGTTGGTTTCTAACTTGATAAGCTCGATTAATATTAATTTATTATGAGAGAAAAAACCATCATTGATTGAAACCGATGTCTGTCCAGGCTATCTAGACGTCCTTGCGTGCGTCATGGTCCGGACAGCTGCCTCTTTTTTGTCGTACCTTGAGTTTCGAGCTGATGTGATCGCTTTCGTCATCGAAGCTGCTGTGTCTTGGATTTTATACGGTCGATCAGTTTTAAAGATCTTCACTTTGCCAATTAGACAGCCGTTTCCTAATCATAAAGACAGAAAGATAGAACGAATTGATTTAGAGGTAAGAGAAAGAACAGTCAATTGCAGAGTGACAGTTTTATCAAACAAAAAAATTACAGTGACACAGAAAGACACATTTTTTCTCCTTTTCTATAAGCTAACCCTTCCGTCCCGTACGTCAAACTTTCTTTGATTAAATTTATAGAAAATATGATCATCATTTGTATCTCTAAATAAGTTTATTATAAAATATATTTAATAATTTATTATAAAATATAGTATTATATTTGTTCTAAGTCGAAAGTGTTCCACTTCTTGAAAAGTAACAATGACACTTTTTATAGGACGAAGAGAGTAGACTAGAAAGATGAGAGACACTACTATCCAGGATTGGAATGCTCATGAACGGTTGTATCATATTGCTTTCTGTTACCATTTTTCTTTTTTTCCGCCATTACTGGGCTTGTTTTTTTTGTATATATAATTTAAGTTTAAGTCATGACACAGCATTCAGATCGATCATCTAGAACTGGATATGCGGTGTTCCATGCTCGTCGCTAAATGTTACAAAATACTTCAAACATTTTATTTTTACCCCAAATCAAATTCCTCTAACTTTGACTAATTTATAGAAAAAATACACTAAGTATCCGGAGCATTAGTAATTTCATTAACTCTAATATGAAATACATCTTGATAATACATTTATTTAGAGAAGCCTAGCAATAACCCACAAAATAGGTCCCTACTTTTGAGGGCTCTATTTTGTGGGATACACTCCGGCAGTAGCTCTCAAAACAATGTCTTCATTCTTTCTTTATCTTCTCTCAATTGATGAACACGGCTATGCTGGGGGCGCAGCCATTAGGAAGGGCTCCAATGCGGAGGGGCATAGCCATGGCTCCAGATGAGAGTGGCGCAGCTAGGGAGCGAGGGGCTCTAGCGGGGAGAGGCGACACGGGGAAAGTCACCAAGAGAGGAAGGAGCCGGGGAGGGGTGGTCGCTAGAGCTGCCGTGTTGTTTTCTTGCTCGAGGTGCGACCTCTCCCTTACTGTAACGCCTATCCACACGTCGCACTGTAACACCCCAGAGTCTAAACGGCTTAGATCCACTCTGGACGTTGAGCGAACCACACCTTTCACCATCCCACTTACGCTTTCGTCATCGCTTCGTGTAAAAGGATTAACCTAGGGATGATGGGATGAATTATAGAAGCCTTATATGTTGGTCTAACCCACCCTAAACAATTAAGGTGGGACTAAACCCTCCATAATATATCATTAACATGCACAGGGGCCACTCTGAGCCAAACTCCAAACTGGATGGATGTGACACGCACGCGAACGGGGAAGCCGAAAGCGGGGTGGTGCACGGATGGCGAAACGGGCGACGCACGAACGAGGAAAGGAAACGTGGGAAACAACCAGAAATGGTGATTTGAGGGCTTGGCCCAGGACCCCTAGGAATGAGGGGTGGGAGGGGGATTTGAGGCTCCTCTCAAATTTGAGGGCTCTAGGAGGCACCCTCATAAATAGGATGAGGACTCAAGTAGAGGCTCTGCTGGAGTTACTCTAAGTATTACGTATGTTCATATATCTTTTTATAAATCTAGTCAGAGTGCAAGTATTTAGCCGCTCATCTCTATAAATCACGTGTATCCAAAGAGTCAAATCCATGATCTTTAGCCTCATGCGACATGTCTCCACCCACGGCACTGCATGCTCACTTGTGAGTGAGTATAGGATGTTACTATTTTGTATTAGCATTTTGTAATCTTGAATTAAATATTTTGATCGCTAAATAATCTTAAATAAAAAAGGTTTCGATTACAAAGTTTTAGATCTTGTGAAGCACAACAGTCTCCATCTGAGATTGTTTAAAAATTTCAAAAATTTGAATATAAGAATATGATAAATTAAAACATATGTTTGATATACTCTAAACGAATTGAATAAAAAAAACTTGTCAACTACAAAGTTGAAGATCACATCAACCAATAAATTGGGTATTGACTATGTTAACAATTGCGGTCTTTTGAATTTTTTAAAAATGAATTTCAAAAACTAAACTACTTAAATAAAAAAACTTGACAACTACAAAGGTCTAACTAAAATGTGGTGTAGACCATGTCAACATCCGAGATCATTGAAAAATTTCTTAAATTAAATTCCAAATTGAAGGAACCATGATACCTAAGACGGGGAGGGTTTTTGAATTAGGCAACTTAATACTAAACACGACCTCTAATGTGTTTCTATCTCTACCATAAAAGAGTTATGCAACATAGGTTCCAATCCTATCACTAATGTAGCAAGTTAGACTAGGAATATAAAGCACACAACTTAAGTACACAATATAAATGCAGAAGCTTAAGGGTAGAAAATACAAACTCCGTTGATGACTCTCAATTTTTACCAAGGTATCGAGAACCCCATGCTTCCCTCTAATCCTCATTTGAGCCTCTTGTGAGGATGCCCTCATATGGGCTAAGCTATCGACCAGTAACTCCATGGAGCTCATGGGCCTTCTCCATGTGCAAGTGGGTCCATTAGGCCTTCTCCAAGATGACTCCGGTGCACACCAGATATTAAGGTGTGCACACTGAAACTATGCCCACGTCAGTACACTGTGGGAGCACTATGGTGAGCACTCTAGTGACACACCGGAGCACTCTGATGAGTGCAAAACAGCACTATGAAGTGCTTTTCTCTCATCTTCACAAGCAAGCATGCTAACTCAAAATGTTTTTGCCAAACATTTGAGCCCTAAGTTAGTATTTTTCAAAGTGTTTTCAAATATATTTTAAGCTTGCTACTCACCACGTCACTAGGTCTAATGCATATGCATGTATATCAACACCTAGTGGCACTAGATAACCGTGTAGCTTTAGAGCTCTCCTCTTAATAGTATAACTATGTATCATAAACCCGAGTACCTGACCATGCATTCCATTACGTCTCGACCGGCAAAAAAACAAAACCCTTGACATACACCTTTGACTTCGGGCTTGTTTTCACCTCTTCATTTTCTCTCAAGTGAGATTGTTCCATTTGCATGATCACGCTTCATCCAAGTCCTAGCCTTCCTCACCACCTTGGCGTGGACTTCACCTAAACTAATCAACACTTAGGCAAAATGTTAGTCCACTAGTTGTCACTCAATTACCAAAACCAAACATGATGCTTTCAAAGCAACATGGATTTGGACGCTACAATTAATTGTGTCTTGTGCAACTGAGATGAAGAAGAAACTTTGCAACATCTGTTACTCCATTGTCATTTTTGCAAAACAGTGTTGGAGATTCATCAATCTAGATATTCCACCAAATAGGAGCTTCTCTGAAATCACAAGCTATTTCAAGGACAAGAGACAATCACAATTCTTCATGGTAGCAGTGGCGCTGCTGTGTTGGGTAATTTGGATAGCAAGAAAGGACTTAATTTTCAAAGGAGTCCAACCTAGTATAGTGCTTGCAGACGCCTCTTCTTCAAAGAAGTTCTGTTGATCTCCCACAGAGTCAAGACTTTCGCTACCCTTTGATCAATGGACACAAACTATGGTGTAAATGTGTAATTAGTAGGCTACTCTTAATTTTCTTTGTCTCTTTTTGTTTCTTCATTTACTTCTTGTTAGAGCATCTCCAC